ATTTAATTTTTTTTTTTTTTTTTTTTTTTTTTTTTTTTTTGTCTTTTTGTCTTTTTCCGTGTCCGGCAACGGATCGCAACCCTCAGTGTTGCCCCCGTACCGGACCAGGGACCGGCAACGGGATTGCAACCCTCGGTGTTGCTCCCGCACCTCGCTCAGCCAGTGAGCGGGAACCGGTCTGTATGTGGGATCCGAACCCTCGGGCGGGAGTGCCGCCGCGCTTCCCAAGCGGCGCACTATCCAGTGCGCCACCGGGCCGGCCCTGAATTTAGATTTTATAAAAAATTTATGGTTGGGGCTGGCCTGGTGGCGCATTGGAGAGTGCGCCGCTTGGGTTCGGATCCCATGTGGAAACCGGTTCCCGCTCGCTGGCTGAGCGTGGTGCGGGCGCAACACCGAGGGTTGCGATCCCGTTGCTGGTCCCCGGTATGGGTGTGACACCAAGGGTTACGATCCCGTTACCGGTCAGTAAAAAAGACAAAAAGGAAAAAAAAAAAAATTTATGGTTGAAGAAGTAGATTTACATACCCAGCTGTTTCCACATACAAAAAAGTTTTTCAGTAACTAAACTGAGAACCAAAAATATCATTTTCCTTTGGTATTCACATACATTGACAAAACTCATTCATCTTTTTTAGGAAAATTGATTTGACTTTTAAGCAAAAGCATATCATTTTCAAAACTCTGTCCAAGTTATGTAAATTTACCTACTCTTGTGTCAAGTCAGTATTGTTACTATCATATTCCAAGGGGTACTGAATATATTGAAAAGTAACTCCAAATTTATCAATATCAACAGAGTGTTTTTTTCAATTTTTTAGCAGCCAATTTTCATAATGCTGTCTATTACAATTAAAATCTTCTACATATTCAGTCATTTTATAAAAATATTGACTTGTGTTTGTTATATTATTATTATTATTGATTTGTATTATTATTGACTTGAAGTTGGAACATAAGCTTTCATACCTGTCTGGATAGATCATAAGTAAGGTCTTTTCCTTTCTTGGAGCTTTAAATTTAGCTTCTTCATATGCAGTGTGGAGACAGTGAGAGAATGTAAATAATGCTGCCATTTTTATCTTTGATTATTGAATGAAATATTGAATTATTGAGTGAAAATAATAATTTGGTGAGCATTCCTTTAATTTCAAGGAAATCTGAATTGGAGTTAACAGTACAGTAAATCTTTGTAAAACTTTTCCATCTCTCAGTCCACGAGTATAGGCAAAGAACACAGTATCATTAAATTCATTGTCTTTTGTTTCTTTCAACCGTTCTATGAACTGGCAAATCATTGTAACATTTGCAAGTATATACTGAACCATTTCAACAACTTGTATGGATACTTACAAGAGTATCCATAGCACTTGTTATAGTCTGCTTCAGAAAACTGAGCACAAATGTTTCCAGTATGTATCACACAGTGCAGAGTTTCCAGTATGTATCACACAGTAGAATGAAGTAATAAAGGAAACATGAGTTTATTAAAATCCCAGCATATCCATATTTTAGTACAACTTAGTCCTGTCTGTCATGATAGTAAGTAATTTTTCACATGTAGGTGAAATTCTTTGACAAATGTGGAAGATTCAAAATACCTTCACCATGAGTTTCATATTTTTTAGGCTGTAATTTGACAATATTTTTTCATATACAAGAGGTCTTCCAAAAATTCATGGAAAGATTCATACTATCTTTTTTGGTGGGGAGTGGGCAGCTGTCTGGCATGGGGGTCCATATATTATCTTTCAATTAAAAATTTCCATGAATTTTTTGAAGATTTTGAAATACTTTCATATTCGGAAATCCTTTTAGACAAAACATATCCAAAATATTAATTGGGCAGCATCTTATATGTCACACAACTCATCTAAAGCTTAAAAAAAATGAAATATTTTTCAAATTTTCAATCAGTCTTTGATACTGTTAGTTAGAAAGGTTTTGTAGTCTGTGGGAAATTGTGGCTTAGCTGAAGATTATTGACTTTTGGAAAATATCTTTTTTAAGTCTTTTCCTTAAAATTGTTTCTTCGAGCATGTTTTCATCAAAAACGGTTTTTTTTGGTGAAAGAATGTAAGCCATTCTGTAGTTGATCAAAGTTATAAGCTCAGATCCTGCTGAAAATTTGTTAAAATTTTTTTGTTGTTGGATATTTAGTTGTGATTTCAGCCACTAATTTCATTTATTCTTTTTTGAGAGAAAAATGCTTATGAAATTTATTGTGTATTTGCTGAAAGTCTCTTTTAAACAGCAAAATGCTTTTTCTCTTTACTCAGCCACAGCATATTGCAGGTCCCATTCATTGTGAATCTGTGACATCCCTTCTTTCAGTTATTTTTTGTCTTCCTTTATTGTCCTGGTCATAGTTCTAGTTTCTGTGTCTCTATTCAGTTCTGCATCAGTAATATACCTGTGTTTTAAATTTTAGGATTCGTTCATACTTATGTTTTTAACTAGGAAAAGAATTATTTTTCACCTTATTTACCAATTATGATTTACTAGCCAGCACTGTCTCTCGTGCTCTCTGCATTACAAACACAGCATTATGTTTCATCAGTGCACAGAAAGAAATCACTTGAACTGAATCAATCTATTGTCCCTGACTAGAACAGCAATGTGTTTGTATGTGATACTAGAAAGGACATGTGGGGGCCAAGCCCGTGGTGCACTCGGGAGAGTGCGGCGCTAGGAGTGCAGCAGCGCTCCTGCTGCGGGTTCGGATCCTATATAGGGATGACCCGTGCGCTCACAGCGCTCACTGGCTGAGCACGGTGCGGCCGGTCTCAAAAAGGACCAAAAAAAAAAAAAAAAAAAAAAAGAAAGGACATGTGGGCCTGACATGCATGCTGCTATACAACCATAAAGTAAAATGTCATCTTACCAAATCAATAAAATTGGGCTTAATGGAAGAATATTTTACAGTGCATCAGTTTTTAAATTAAAATGAAACAACGTTTAAAATTCACTTTCTGAGTCATATTGCAAATGCTCAGTAGCCATGTGTGGCTCATGGCCACCATATGGGACAGTGCGGATATAGAGTTGGACGTTAGTGAGTCAGAAATTAGTTTGTTTTTGTTTTTTTGGTCCTTTTTGAGTTCAAGTAGCTTTCAAATTCTATTGCCTTTAATTTAAAAATTACTCTATTTTTAATCTCAATTTAAAGTTTCTTTTCATTATTTCTGCCGTTAGCTCACAGACTGGGTTTGGTAGGTGAATCTTAACACTAACAGCTCTGTTCTAGAAGGATGAGGGAGGCGTGTTAGCACCTGCACGTGTCTGTGGGTAGGTTCCTCGCTGGTTCTGATTCCTTGGGAGTAAGGATAGATTTAGAGTTAGACTTGGGGTCCAGGGCTTGCTTCCTGGCTGGTACTTACTACTTTTATGATCTTGAGAAGTTTACTTGTCTGTGACCCAGTTCCTAATCTGTGAAATGTGATGGTAGTGCCTCTGGCTCTGGGGGTCTGATTGGAGAGTAGATGCAGTGGGAAGCCCTTGATAAGCCCTTAGCTTTGTTAAGTGCCTTGTCCAGGGCCAGGCTTTATCTTCTGTGGTGTTATGTTATTTTGGGAGCAAGAGGCATGTTTCATTGTGATCACTGGTGTCATATGTCCCATTAGAAAGATTCCTTCTTTATTCTGTCACTGAAACCAGGCTGAGCTAAAAGCAAGAAATGAAGGATTTTTAAAAGTCTTTAGCTAATTCAGATTCCTAAGTAGCCTTTTCTCCCCCAGAGAGTTGGGCCAAGATAGTATTTTTGCTAGTTATCCAAATATTTTCCTCTGTTCCGCACTTCATTTTTTAGTGTTAGTCTGGCTCAACTGCAACTTTTTTGTTAAAAAGGTATTGGCTCAGGATCATGTCAAGTTGAGTTTCCTTAGAGATGGGTTTTTTAAAAGAGGTAAAGTTCTGGACATTAGCCTCTGAATTAACTGGGCAAGCCTTTAAAGCTGCATCTAACAGCTTTGTCCTGCGAGACTGAGAGCAGACAGAGGGGTTAGAAGGAGACCAGGTCATGCCTGCCTCCTTGAAAATCTCTGGGGGAAAGCAGTGGCCTTTCTGAGTAGAGTGGCGGAGCGCACAGAGAAAGGAGACTGACCCTCTGTCATCTGTCAGGCTAATCAAGACAAGCCCAGATCTGGCCGAGTCCTGCACGTGGTTCCCTGAGTCCTATGTGATTTATCCAACAAATCTCAAGACTCCAGTTGCTCCAGCGCAGAATGGAATCCAGCCACCAATCAATACCTCAAGGACAGATGAAAGGGAATTCTTCCTGGCATCTTTTAACAGGAAGAAGGAAGATGGAGAGGGCAATGTTTGGATTGCAAAGTCATCAGCTGGTGCCAAAGGTGAGTTGGCCATTGTTGTCCCCTTCTCTATTCCCTGTAGATTCCTGTCATGCTTTGTTAAATGGTACGTTAGATTTACAGACGTATTTAGATGAATGACTCTATTTTAGTCTGAATCATCAAGGGTAGAGACCATGTCTAGCCACAGAGTTTTAAATACCCACGTATGTGCTGGTGCCTTCTAAATGTCTCCAGTCTAAGTCCTTCCCTTTAAGCTCCAGATCCAGCGGCACCCTCACCATCTCTGGAAGACACTTCAGATTTAACAAGTCTGATATAGAACTCTTTATTTTTCCTTTCCAACTTTGCCCACCCCAGCCCACTCCTCTGTCAGTCTTCCCACTTAGTATATGATCCTGCTGTTCACCCCGTCTCTGAAGCCCAGCACCTGGGATTCACCCTTGACTGCTCTTTCTTTACAGTCTGTACCTAATGCATTAGCAAGTCTTGCTAGCTATACCTTCAAAATATATTCTGATTGAGACTTTTGCTTGCCATTTCCACTGCTCCACTCTAAATCAAAGCCCCGTTCTCTGTAGTCTGTGTTATTACAGTGCTGCTCACAGCCCTTCTCCTCCTCCCAGACAGTGATGTTTTAAAAACATAAATCTGATCATGTTACTCCCTGCTCAACATTTACCAGCTGGCTTCCTAATGCAATTGGAATAAACTCCCGATTCCTGATGGTAGCCTACACCGTTTGACATTTGCCTATATCTGTGATCTCATCTCCTTCTGTTCTCAGCCTTACTCACTGAACTGTAGCCACAAAGACTGCCTAGTGTCCCTCGAATACCCGAAGTTTCTCTCTGTGCCTGGACTGTGCTTACATGGGTTATTGTCCATTTCTTTGAGCTTGAATGTTGCCTCATCAGAGAAGGCTTTTCTAGTCTAGAATAGCCTATATGCCCATTACTTTCTGTCCCTTTCCCCTGCCTTGTTTTTCCTTATTGCACTGACCTCTTTCTAGCACGATATTACTGATTTATCTGTCCATCTCCCCCATCATATATATGTAAGCTCCATATAAACACACTTTCTGTCTTGTTCATCTTTGTACCCTCCTCGTAGGCACTCAGTAAATGTATGTTGAATGAATACCTAGAAGAGGTGAGGTTTATAATTTTAACTCAGGCTTAAAATAGATGCAGTTCCCAATGTAATGGGCACATAAACAGTCTCTCTCTATAACCACCATCATATGCTCTTTTAAAAACCATTCCATTTTGAACTTACTTCTTCTTTTATTGCCTTGGAAGACCATCTGGCCATTGGTACTCATTTCTATTCCTGGTCCAGTGGACCTCACCTTCTTTTCCACCAACCATGAGACAGGAGGGCATCACCTGGAATCTCCTGAAAGTGGGAGAGTTGGACTCTTGCCACAAGCCAGGTACCTCACCTACTTCCCTTTACCCTCTTGTGACCTCTTCTCAAGTACTGTCCCCTAGTTTGGTTCTAATGTTAAATGGGGGGATTGGAAGAGGAAGTAAACATCCTTAGTGTTCTACATTCCTCCTGTGGATGGGCTTGGAGTCAGAATGGCCATTGTGAGGACACATGGGTGGTCCCTGGGCCCTCACCAAGACAAGACATGGAGGCACACCAAGCAGCAGGGAGAGGTAAAGAGAACAAAATGCCAAACAAAAAATTTTTGCTTTATGAATTGAGGAGAGAAATGGTGTATATTTGTTTTGTTTAGGGACTAAAAAATGAAACCAATAGGATGAATGAATGTCTTTTATTCTTGTCAAACAAACGTTTATTTAGAACCTATGACATACTCTACATAGCTGATTCAGCCTTCAGACCATATCCAGCATCTGTTCTCCACCTCCGCTGCCCATCTCTGATCCGAGCCACCTTCATTTCTCACCTGGAGCCTTGCTCCCTGTCCTCCTGCTCTTGGCCATTCTCCAGAGTCTACATACAACACGGCAGACAGAGATTTTACTAAAGCATAGTCAGGCCATCTCAGACCATGTCACGTCTGTGCTCAGCACTGTCTCCTCTTGTGCCAGGACAGCACATGGCACCCAGCAAAGGTTCAGTGTACATAGTATTGAGTGAATGAATGAATGAAAGAATGAATGAAAAACAAGGAAATAATGAGTGTTCGGAGATACAGGAATAAGTAAGACAGACTTGATCTTTTCCCCTCAGGGGCCCATAATCTAGTCAGAAAGAAGGCTAAAGATGCATTATTTCCAGATAAGCTAAGAGTTGAGATGGCAATAACAAAAAGAACAACAAAAATACTGTGTCCTTGAAGCTCCTTGAAGCTTCCAAAAGTTCCTTCATAATTTTTCCTCGTTAGTGAGAATATGAACAAGTAAGTGCTATACGATACGCAGTTAACAAACACATGGAAGCATGCTACACCAGTTTCCACAACTCACAAAATAAATTTGAATTTTGTGTATCATTTTACACCGACAAAATAAGAAAACAAAAACTTTTAGTTACGCTGTGGCTGAAAGTTTGTTGTGAACTACCCCCGCTAGTGACAGTTCACAGCCCTTTAAAATGCAAAAGGATAACGCAGAGCAAGAGCCGTGAGGGTTCGTATCCTTTGGCCCAGTAATTTCATTCATGAAAACTTAGTCCAAAGAAATATTTAAAAAGAAACAAGAATGATGTACAGCAAAGACATTTACTACCATGTGACCTGTAATAGCAAAATATTATTTAGAAACAACCCCATTGTCCAGCAGTCAGTAAACAAATGTGTGATTTTTTTATGTCTACACAATGGGATATTTTTCAGCTGCTAACATCATTGTGAAGTTAATGTAGAAACAATGAAAATATTAACAATATAAAGTGAAAAAGGAATATGAAATGAGTTCACTGTGATTGAATCAGGCATTGCCCATATGTAAAGAAAGGTAATATGAGAAAATAAAAATAATTATGTTAGGAAATAAGACTGGGTAACTTTTCCATTTCCTGTTAAGACCATGTTTTTAAAATGATAGCTTTTTAAAGTTATAAAAGGGTATCTATCTCCTTACTTTTTCCCCATTATTTTCCAACTTACTAGCATTAGGTATATTAATTTTCAATAAGAAATAGTTTACATAAGGAAAATAAGGTTGGAGCGTATGGGAGGGAATGGGGTCAGATTATAGTAGAGCACAGTGTCAGTAGGTGATACAGTTTCAGGACATTAGTAGGAAAGTGGTGTTTTAGAATGATTATTATAGAAATATTTTGCAAGGTGCTACAGAGGAGGGGAGATTAAAGTCTGAATTTAAGAATTGACAAGTGGAAATAAAGAGAAACCAGAAAATCTGAGTGTGGTTCTTAAGGGAAATGAAACAGGATGAGTCATGTGTGTAAGAAAAGAGAAGAAGGAAACTTTTCCAAGTTGATTTGTAATTTCTTGTTTAAGAAGCTAACCATATGGTGGGACAAATGGCATAAGTGGGGTAGTTGAGAAGGGAGTTGACTTTTAGGAAAGATGAATCATTGGACTAATGAACTGAACTGAATTGAATTCATGAGACTCAAGTGCAGATGAACTATAAATCTAAAGCACTGGTGGGAATGTGACAGGATATGAGAACAACACACAAAAGGCACTTACTTGCCTTTCTGTATTCTACCAATGAATACGGGGAAGCCAAAATTAAAAACATAATACCACTTACAGTCACTCCAGAGAAAACGAGATGTTTAGATATAAACCTAATGAAACATGTACAGGTTCTGTATGCTGGAAATTACAAAATGGTTCTGAAAGAAGTCAAAGAGGATCTAAAAAAATGGACAGACATACCATGTTCATGGATTGCAGGACTCAACTAGTGAAGTAAAGATGTCAATCCATCCCACACTGGTCTGTAGGTTTAATGGAATTCCTATCAAGATCTCTGCAAGGTTTTTGTGTTGACATTAAGACTGCTTCTGAAATTCACATGGAAAGGCCCAGACACTAGAATAGCTTAAATAATCTTGAAAAGAAGAATAAAGTGGAAGTAATCACTCTACCTGATATTAAGATGTGCTATATGGGTACAATACTCAATACACTGTAGTGTTGGTGGAGGGATAGAAACATACACTGGTGAAACAGAAAAGAGGACTCAGAAATAGAGCCAAACATATATGAGTATGCCCACCTGATTTCTGACAAAGGTGCAAAAGCCATTCAATAGAGGTAGGAGAAACTTTTCAACAAATGGTGCTGGGTAAAGTTGATAGCCGTAGGCAAAAAAATGAACATCAGCTAAACTTTACACCTTATACAAAAACTAACTCAAAATGAATCATGGACTTAAATGTAAAATGAAAAACTATAACATTTTTAGGAAAAAATAGGAGATAGGACTTGGCAAAGAGGTCTTAAACTTGACACCAAAGGTACAATCTATAAAAGTAAAAATTGATAAATTGAACCTGAACAAAATAAAATTTTTGCTTTGTGGAACACCCCTTTAAGAGGATGAAAAGACAAGCTACAGACTAGGAGAAAGGATTTTTAAGCCATGTATATGACAGAAGACTCAGATCTAGAATATATAAACAACTTTTAAAACTTAACAGTAAATAACAACAAACACAATCTAATTAGAAAATAGCCAAAAGACATGAAAATACATTTCATAGAAGAAGCAATACAGATGGAAAATAAGCAAGTTAAAAGATTTTCCATATTATTAACCATTAGGGAAATGCAAATTAAAACCACAGTGAGGTGTCCCTACACTCCTCTTAAAATGACTAAAATAAGATATGTTAACAGCAAATGCTGACAAAAATCTGGAGAAACTGGATCACTCATATATTGCTAGTGGGAATGTAAAATGTTACTGCTACTCTAGAAAAAAGTTTGGCAATTTCTTATAAAACCAAACACATAACTACCATACAACCCAGCAATTGCACACTCTTAGGCCTTTGTCCCAGAGAGATGACAACTTATGTCCACATAAAAACCTGTACATGGGCCGGCCCAGTGGCGCACTGCTACAGTGTGCCGCTTGGGAGCGCAGCGGCGCTCCCGCCGAGGGTTCGGATCCCACATACAGACCGGCCGCTCACTGGCTGAGCGAGGTGCAGGCACAACACTGAGGGTTGCGATCTGTTGCCGGTCATGAAAAAAGACAAAAAGGAAAAAAAAATTAAAAAAAATAAAAACCTGTACATGGGCCGGCCCAGTGGCGCACTGCTACCGTGTGCCGCTTGGGAGCGCAGCGGCGCTCCCGCCGAGGGTTCGGATCCCACATACAGACCGGCCGCTCACTGGCTGAGCGAGGTGCAGGCACAACACTGAGGGTTGCGATCCTGTCGCCGGTCCCGGTCCGGGCGCGACACTGAGGGTTGCGATCCTGTCGCCGGTCCCGGTCCGGGCGCGACACTGAGGGTTGCGATCTGTTGCCGGTCATGAAAAAAGACAAAAAGGAAAAAAAAATTAAAAAAAATAAAAACCTGTACATGATTGTTCACGGTAGTTTTATTTGTAATACCCCCAAACTGGAAACAACCCGAAAGTCTCTCAATGGGTAAATGATTAAACAAACTGTGGTGAATTGATACCATAGAATACTACTCAGTAATAAAAAGGAATGAACTATTGATATATGCAACAACTTGGATGAATGTCCAGGGTATTATGCTGAGTGGAAAATGCCATTCCCAAAAGATCATATACTGTATAATTCTATTTATATAACGTTCATACTGTATAATGATATTTATATAACATTTTCAAAATGACAAAATCATAGAAATGGAGAACAGATTAGTAGTTGCCAGAGATGGGGGTAGGGTGGGGAGGTAGGTAGGTGTGGCTTTGAAAGGGCAACATGAGGGTTCTGTGCAATAGTGGAACTGTTCAGAATTGGAGAAGATAGATATAGGTAAATCATATATCCAGTAAGGGAGCTGTATCCAGAGTGTATTTTTAAAAACTTTGATTGGAGTGCAGCCTTGTAATACCAAGGTCACAGGTTCAGATCCCCAGCCAGCCACCAAAAAAAGATAAATAAATGAAATAAATAAATAAATAATAAAAAACTTATAACTCAGTAATGAAAAGATAAATGATTCAGTTGGGAAATAGACAAGAATCTGAATAAACATTTCTCTAAAGAAGATATGCAAATAGCCAATAAGCACGTGAAAACATGTTCAATATTATTAGCCATTAGAGAAATGCAAATAAAAACCATGTGAGATAATATGTCATAACCAAAAGAATGGCTGTCATCAAGAAGGCAGATGATAACAAGTGTTGGTGAGGATGTGAAGAAATTGGAACCCTCATACATTACTGGTGGAAATATAAAATAGTGCAGCCACTTTGGAAAACAGTTTGGTAGTTCCTCAAAAGGTTAAGCATAGAGTTACCATATGACCAGGAATTCCACTCATAGGTATATTCCCAAGACAATTGAAAAACAGGTGCCTACGCAAAAACTTGTACACAGATTTTCATAGCAACATTATTCATAAGAGCCAGACAACAGTGGAAACAACCCAAATGTTCATTAATTGATGAATGAATGAACAAATTGTGGTATATCCATACAGTGGAGTATTATTCAGCCATAGAAAGGAATGAAATACAGATACATGCTACAACATGGATGAACTTTGAAAACTTCGTGCTAAATGAAATTAGCCAGACATAAAAGGCCACATGTTATATAATCCCATTTATATGAAATGTCCAGAAGAGGCAAATCCATAGAGACAGAAAGTAGATTAGTGGTTGCAAGGGGCTGGGGTGAGGAGGGAATGAGAAGTGACTGCTGATGTGTACAGAGTTGATTTGGGAAGGCGATGAAAACGTTCTAAAATTAAATTGCATTAATGGTTGCAAAACTCTTGAATGTACCAAAAACCATTGAATTGTGTACTTTAGAAGGGTGAATTATATATGTAAGTTACATCTCGAGCTGTTAAAAAGAATATGATATCATTTATTTAATGTTAATTCTATTACAATGCTGCAAGGGATGTATTTGTACATTTGTCTTTATGCCCTAACCTTCCTGATATTTCTGTGAAGGTAAAATGTTGGAAGTGAATTTATTGGTCTTAGGCAGTATGCAGTCTTTATTGTGGTAGCCATTGACCAGTAGTAAAGTAGCATTTATTTTGAGTCCTTAGACTTTTTGAATATCTGTAAAACTGAAATTTCATGGTTGGAGCCTGCCAAGATCATGCTGACGATCCTATATGGAGAAAGAGTTAGTTGGATAATCCTGGGTGCTCTCATGGGGAGAGGGAAGAGTGACAGGTTGGAGGAGAGAAGGGGAGGGAGAAAGAAGACAGAGCAGGCCACTAAAAGCCTCCTGTATGTTTTTTCTGCTGTCAGTATTTCCTTCCTGGCTTTATAGAGGGCTTTTCCTCTTAGAGTGAACTGGACTAGTTTCTGTTTTGCTTTTGCTGTGTCAGGTGAAGGCATCCTCATCTCCTCGGAGGCTTCAGAGCTTCTGGATTTCATAGACAACCAGGGCCAAGTGCATGTGATCCAGAAATACCTCGAGCATCCTCTGCTTCTAGAGCCAGGCCATCGCAAGTTTGACATTAGGTAATGCATCAGTGTCCATAGCTTTTGTGTTTATTCACCTGAAAAAAATGCTGTGGTGTGTGGTGAGGAGGGGGACATGGAATGCGAGAGAATATTTGACTGTTTAATATGTTACCAAAATTGACTGCAGCTGAATGGACCTGAGCTTCTATACCTAATTTTCTGTTTTTCTTCCAATATTTCTTTTTTCTTTCTAGAAAATGTTACTAAGATTATAGATTTTCTTTTTGTATTCTCTTTTACGAAAATGACTTGTGGATCAAAGAGAGGAGTGTAAATGTATTGGGGCTTGCTTAACAGTAGAAGCTGATAGGCATAGAACACATAATTCAGATTGCCACATAATTTGTCCTCCATTATTCATGTCCAACTTTTTATGGATTGCATGAACACTCCTCAGGTTTTTGGACTGGTTTCTGAGCAAAGGGCCTGGCATGATGAAAGAGGTTGTGTGGTGCTTTCTAAAGCTGCACAGCCCTCTCTCCAGCTTGCCTTTGGCCTCTCTGTCATCTCAAGGAGGACTGTTGGTCTCCTTGATGCCGTAGTAATGACTTGCTGCCTCTTGAACATCAGTCCTATATCAGATCAGCTTCAGGATGAGCACCATTCCTCTTAAGATCAAATGGGGGTTTCATACATTAACCTTAAAAACCAGCCCATCCAAATCTCTTCAAAATACTGCACCTTTTGAATGGATCAAAGTCTCCTTGTCATTTATGGTGAAATGTTTTGTTTGCCTCGTTATAGTGATAACCCACTATCTCGGCTAACTCATGGTTTGCCACATATAATTTTAGAAACTACCTCCTTCCCTTATTCCTCCCACCTCCTCCATTCCCCCAAAATGTCAAGGTATGGGGATAAAAATAAATAAATAATAAATATATGTGTATATATATATATATATATATATATATACACACACACACACACACACACACACACATATATATATATGATATGGAGAAACTTTGGGTGACTTGAGTAAAACAGTGTTTTTATTGAATTGCAGAAGCTGGGTCTTGGTGGATCATCAGTATAATATCTACCTCTATAGAGAGGGTGTGCTTCGGACTGCTTCAGAACCATATCATACTGATAATTTCCAAGACAAAACCTGCCATTTGACCAATCACTGCATTCAAAAGGAGTACTCAAAGAACTATGGGAAGTATGAAGAAGGGAATGAAATGTTCTTTGAAGAGTTCAATCAGTACCTAACGAGTGCTTTGAACATTACCCTGGAAAGTAGTATCTTACTACAAATCAAACATATAATAAGGTAACTTAATTGTACCTTTTTTTTTTTTTTGCTATGTGTTTCTTCTTGAAGGAGCTTTGGATGTTTACGCCTTTCAAGGAATTATTCTACTTAAGTTGCCTAATTTGTGAGCAAAAATTATTTGTAATATTCCTTTATTTTCCTTTTAGTTTCTGTAGGATCTGTAATGATGTCACTTTTTTCATTCCTGATATTGATAATTAGCGTTTTCTCTCTGTTTTACTTAGATTGGCTAGCAGTTGATCAATTTTTTAAATCTTTTGTGTGTGTGTGGCAGCTGGCTGGTAAGGGGATCCAAACCCTTGAGCTTGGTGTTATCAGCACCATGCTGTAACCAAGTGAGCTAACCTATTAATCTTAAAAAAAAAAAAAAAAAAAAGTTTGGCTTTATTGTTTTTTATATTTTTGTTATCAGTTTCTTTGATTTATGCTCCTTATTTTCTTCCTCTGTTTTCTTTGGGGTTTAATTTTCTCTTTTTCTAGTTTCTTAAGGTGAAATTTTATATCGTTGGTTTGAGAGATTATTTCTTTTAAAAAATATAAGCACTCGGGGCCGGCCGGTGGCTCCCTCGGGAGAGTGCGGTGCTGATAACACCAAGGCCTCGGGTTCGGATCCCATATAGGGATGGCCGGTTCGCTCACTGGCTGAGCGTGGTGCTGACAACACCAAGTCAAGGGTTAAGATCCCCTTACCGGTCATCCCTATATAAAAAAATATATATATAAGCACTTATTGCTATTAATTTCCCTCTGAGTACTACATTAGTTTCATCCCACAGATTTTGCTATGTTGTGTTTTCATTTCCATTTTATTAAAATATTTGCTAATTTCTCTTCTGACTTCTTTGTTAACTTGTGTGATTTAGAAATTTTTGTTTAATATGCAAACATTTGGGAATTTTTTAGTAATTCCATTATGGTCAGAGGAACATACTTTGTATGGTTTCCTTTCTTTAAATTAATTTTTCGTGGCCCAGAATGTGGTCCGTCTTAGTGACTGTTCTGTGTGCACTGAAAGAGTGTATATTCTGCTATAGGTAGGCAGAGTGTTCTATAAATGTCAATTAGGTCAAGGTGGTTGATAATGTTGTTCAAGTCTTTTATATCCTTGCTGATTTTCTGTTCTACTTATTCTATTCATTATTGAGAAAAAAAGCATCAAAGTCTCCAAATATAATTATGGTTTTGTCTATGTCTCTTTTCAGTTTCATCAGTTTTACTTTATATGTTTCAAAGATCTGTTAGGTGCATATATATTTAGGATTGTTATCTTTTCTTTGGGAATTGACCATTTTATCATTATGTAATTTGTTTTTATCTCTGGTATTATTTCTTATTTTCTAGTTTGTCTAATTTTAGTATAGCCACTCCAGCTTTCTTTTGATTAGTGTTTCCATGGTGTGTCTCTTTCCATCCCTTTATTTTTATTCTGTTCTATATATATTTTATATATTCTATTCTATATATATTTTATTATATCCTGTATATTCTGTATGTGAAGTAGGTTTTTGGTAGGCAGCATATAGTTGCATTTTTTTAATTTTTATACAATGTGATCACTGGATCAATGTGGAGATTATTATTTTTGCTGTCAACAGTTATATATATTTTCATACATATGATAGATCATCAGGTTGGATTGAGAAAAAAAATAAACTATATACTGTCTATAAGAGACCTACTTTAAATATGAAAGGAGAAAAATTTTCTTTTATATTTACCCAGATACTTACCATTTCTTTTGCTCTTCCTGCAGTTCTGGATTTCTGAATATCACTTCCTCTCAGATTGAAGCATTTTTTAAGAGCAGTTTTGCTGGTGATAAATCCTCTTAGTTTTCCATTATCTAAAATGTGTTTATTTCACCTTATTCCTGAAAGATATTTTCACTAGATTTACACAAACAATGTTAAGCAAAAAGTACAAGCTATATACAAAATGTATACAGGTTGATTGTGTTTATATAAACTGATAAACTAGCAAAACTAAATAATGCATTATTTAGAGAAATATATATGTATGGTAAAAATATGAAGAGAAACAAAGGAATGAAAAACAGAAAATTCAAAATAGTGGTTTATCTGGAGGGCAGGCGGGAGAGATACAGGGAATGTACTTAAGGATATTGGATGCTGGGTACATGTGTATTCATTAATATTACATATATTTTAAAATCACAAGACATTTTTATTATTATGTATAGTTAATATTCATTTCATTTTCCTCATATATTTTAGCCTTTTATGTTGCTTCTCTTTCTTTCCTACATTTCCTTGCTTTGGTCTAGGATCATTTACTTTATTGTTAAAAAAAACCCCTAATTTTTAGTACTTTTTAAGTAAGGTCTGCTGGTGATGAATTACCTCAGTTATTATTTATCTAATAATATATTTTGTCTTCATTTTTTAAAGACATTTCTCTGGAAATAGATTTCTAGATTAGCAGATAGTGTCTTTTACCATGTTGAAGGTGGCATACCAGCCTCTCCTGGTGTCTCTTTTCTGGTGAGAAGTCACCTGAAATCTTAGCATTGCTCTTAATGTATTTTTTCTCTGTTTTTGAGATACATTTTTGTTGTTTTTAATAAATTTTAGTATGAGATGTGTGGAGTTTTCTTTGTGTTTATTCCTGCGCTGGGTTTGTAGTGCATTTTGCATCTGTGGCTTGGTGTCTTTTATCAGTTTTCAAACGTTTGTGGCCATTATCTCTTCAGTAATGGCTTTTGCTCCATTCTCCTCTCTTTCTGGGTCACTGATTACATGGATGTTAATCTTTTCACTGTTTCTCACACTCCTCGTGGCTTTTGTGTATCATTTTCTCTCTCTATGGTTCCGCTCATTCTTTTCTTCTGATTTATCTTTCTGTTTGCTAGTCCTTTGGCTATTAAAACTCATTAAAAAGTTTAAAAAGTTAAAAGCTTTTAAAGTCTGCTATTAAACTCATTCATTGACTTCTTGATTTTAGTTATTGTGCTTTTTAATTCTGAAATTTGTTTGCTTTTTTTTTTTAGATTATAGTTCTCTGATGAAATTCTCCGTGTGTCTCATACTTTTTTGAACATATTAATGGCAATTTTTTAACATCCTTATCTGTTAAGTCCAAAATCTGGATTACCCATCATAGAGGTCAGCGGACTGTACCCTATAGGCCATATCTGGCTTACAGCCTGTATTTGTAAGGTGTGTAAGCTAAGAATTGTTTTTAAACTTTTTAAAGATATTTTTAAAAAAAAGGAGGAGGAGAAGATTATGCAACAGAGTCTGAATGTAGCCTGCAAACCCTAAAATATTTGCTATCTTGCCCTTTATAGAAAAAAGTTTGCCAATCCCTGACGTATAGGTCTGTTTCTGTTTCTGTTTTCTGTTTTTTTTCTCTTTGTCCTATTTCTTAATATGCCTGGAAATAGTTTCTAAATGTTAGTATTTATGTATTACAGTTTACTAAATCCAGGAGAGATTTTAAAAAATCAGGTATAACATGCATAAAGTGTGTTTTTTAATTATACATACACTTAACCTAACTATGATACAAATTGAGATATAAAACATTTACAGCACCCCGGAAGTCATTTTTGAGCTCCCATGAAAGTATGTATTCTCTGCCAAAGATAGCCACCCTTCTGAATTTTATCACTATAGATTCCTTTTGCTTGTTCTTAAACTTTATGTCGATAGAATCATATTGTATTTCCTGTTCAATTTTTTTCAATGTTGTATATGTGGCATTCATCCATATTGTTGCACATAGCAATAGTTTATCCTTTTTTAGTGCTGTATAATATTTTACCGTGTGAATATTCTACAGTTTGTTCTTTCTATAGTTAATAGACATCTGGGTTTTATCTCTTATATTTTAGACCTATAATCTCTCTGGAATTGTTGTATGTTCAAGTTTCATGTTTTTCCACAAGGATATCCCATTGACCCAGAGCCATTTGTGCATAAGACTGTCCTTTCCCTACTTCATTGTGGTGTGCCTTTGTTATAAATCAATGGCTGTTTATGTGAAGGTCTGTTCCTGGGATCCCCCTTCTGTTCCATTGGTCTATTTATCTGTCATGTCATTGCCACCCTGTCATGGTGACTGAGACTTTTTCCATAACGTTTTCTTGCATAGAATCTAGCAGAATAATTACAGGACTTGGAGTCCCATTTCTTCAGGGATTGTAGGTGGTTAGAATTCTGACACCATATAAATCAAGTATGCTGGGGAAAAAATTCCTATTCAGGCAAAAGACACGTTGGAAATTTGCTATACCCCCTCCACATTGTTCTATGCAGTCAGAGAGTGTTGTCACATGGGTGCTATAAATGTCCCTCACAGCTCTCATGTTTTCTTTTTCTTCAGCCAGCCACCCCCTAACTTCCCACTCCAGCCAAAAAAAAAGATACCAAATGAAGTCTCTGATGATGCAAAGCATCCTTTAAAGTGAATTATTAATCTTAAGCTTGCAGCAGATAAAAAATAATATTTAGTTTTGACTTGGTTCTCAGTTTTTCCTTCATGTGTAAGCGTATAATGCTCCTTTCACCTTTTATGCTTTAGTATTGTTGGTTTCTCTCTATCTCTGTCTCTTTTTTTAACCATGAGCATCTACGGAACTTGAACTTTTCTTAATTATAATGTTTTTAAGAGTGTTTTAATTAAAACAAAAGCTAAAGATTTTTTCTTGTAGAACAGAGCTAAGATATTTTCTTAAAATGTGATGTGTGGCTTGCCAATGTGGATTAAATATGGATGGGAGAAGATGTTTTTATTATAATTGGTTCTTAAATGGCTAATCTGTCAAATTATTTTTAAAGGTTTAAACATGCCATAGAAATACTTTACTTTTTGGGAAAAAGAAAAGGAGATTGAAGTTGGCGGGGCAGGAGTGGAGAAGGGTTGGGAGAGCAAGACCCTGACTCCAAGTTCAGCAAGGTCTCAGTCCTTTTTTAAAGTCACAAGTCAAAACCTTCCTGTAAGGATACATCTTAGAGTCATCAGTCATGTGGAAGCCAGTTCCCTGCATCTTTTTCCTTCTAGATACACAGCTGTGTAGGATAGTTATCTCTGGTAATCCTAGAGTCATCATGACACATTTTATTTACTAAGATAAATATTTTGCCTCAGCGTTCAGTTGATGGAAAAAAATCAGAGAAGATCTTCATAAAGCATAAACGGCATGGGTTTTCTGGGATGGTTACACTAGGTAACAGGTATTTATTATTCATAAATAATAAATTTGTGATGATCATACTTAATGATGAACCAATAAAATATGCTTGTTCACAACATTTATTAAATGTGGATTAAATATGGATGGGAGAAGACATTTATTAAATGTAAATAACATTTATTAAATGCTTCCTGTGTACCAGGAGTTATGCCAAGTTCCGTAGTGATTATTTCATTGAACAGTCTCAGCATTAGGAATAAGCACTATTTTTACCCCTAACTTTATAGGTAAGGAAATTAAAGTTTGGCTTAGAGAGGTTAAAAAAACTTCTCTGAGATTTTGGCCTGAACTCAGACCTCACATACCTATTCATTATGTTTCTGAGATTCACTTTCGGCTTTTCTGTGTCGCTAAAATGCCCCATTTTTTCCCAAACAGTAGTTGATGCTAATAATAATTCTATTCTGTATTTCAATATTTAGTTTCAATATGTATAGCTCTTAAATCTTTGAATTAGCATTCATTTGGCATTAGAACTAGAGCTAGTAAAAGAAATTAATGAGGCCGGTATATCTTGTTTTTGCAAATTCTACTCTCCAGCAAATGGTAGTTCATTTTTTACATGGCAGAAATGCATGGAAATGTTTTATTTGTTATAAACAAATGTGGCAGCAGCCCACCTGTTGGAGGAATCTGCACTTATAAAGGCCGCAGTGACTCAGCGCAGTGCTGCTCCTTGAGGCCTGGGAGGTGGCCTTTGCCTGGAAGAACAGGAGAGGTTGCAGAGATTTCTAACAAATTGCTTGATAAGTAGCATTCTCTTGAATAATCTATTGGTAATAAATCAAAAAGACAGAATCCTGTCAAAGCTGATTTAGATATACATTTGATATAAAATCTTCCAAGCACATCTCAGGTGTTCCTTCCCCCTTGAGTACCCCATTCTTAATGAGCTCGCCCCTTCCCACCCTGCAGGAGCTGCCTCATGAGCGTGGAACCTGCCATCAGCACCAAGCACCTCCCTTACCAGAGCTTCCAGCTCTTTGGCTTTGACTTCATGGTGGACGAGGAGCTGAAGGTCTGGCTCATCGAGGTCAACGGCGCCCCTGCTTGTGCCCAGTAAGCCTGAATGCCATTGTGTTTTAACAAAGTTGTGCAGTTGGAATAGTCTGTCTTGGTAAGGTGGTGAGCTATCATTTGAAGGGTTCAAGCGTAGACCCCTTTGACTGCTATCAGGGAGGATGTCACAGTGCTAGGAGTGCTTGGGGAGGACTCTGTCTGGCAGGGGCTTTTCTGAGTTATTTCCTTTCTCCTTTCCCCCATGTGTGTTGGAGCAATTGGTCTGTGCTCAAGTGGGTGGTAGATGCCAGAGAGACTCTAATGTAGCAAGTTGAGTGAGCAGGGTCCTGTGAATGGGTGATGACCCAGAACAGGGCTCCGCAGTCAGGAAGTGGTCTGAGAAGGTATCATAGACACAGTGGAGCTGGAGCTGGATGCAAGGGAAGAGTGTTCAGATGCAGAGGGAGGTGGGGAGAGCCTTCAGAGAGGGTCGCAGCATCCAGTGGGACCTTGCTCTGTGCTGGGCTCCATGCAAGCCTGGGAGATGCACATATGAACAGAACCTGCCCTGGGGAGCTTCTTTTCCTCCTGGGGAGAAGCCTGGCTGTAAAGGTGCCAGTGTCTTGGAGGAACAAATGACGAAGGTGAGAGGGTAAGTTGGGACCTTCCATGGAAGGCCTTAGTGTCAGGGCAAGTCATTTAGACTTAATCCTCTTATGCTATTGGTTCTTGTGAAGATCCGCTTTCATCATGTCAAGACCCTTGCAGGTTCCCATGCCTACATCTTAGAGAAATTGAGAAATCGAGGTGATTTTTCAAAAGGTTAGGAAAAAGTTCTATACCTCTGCAGGACATTGTTAACACACAGGTAGTTCTTTGGTTAGGAGCTGGGCCTTTGCCACTTGCCTGATGGCTGTGACAGGTGTGGTTCCATCTCATTTGTCACTGTCTGCACTTCCCGGTGCTCCTTAGGTACCACCTGGCCTGCAGGCCCTGCACCAGGCCGCGGGCTCACAGTGGTGAGCAAAGAGGGACAATGGGGAGAGACTGTGGGCAAGACAGAGGACCAGACAAATATAGATGACAAATTAGGACAAGCACTTTAATGGAGAGTAAAGGATGTGAAAAGGTAATATAAGTGAGCAAAGGCCCCCACTGGGAAGCGATGTTTGGACGTGAGATCTGAAGGAGGAAAGCGAATTAAGCAGGCCAGGGGTGGAGGAAAGTGGGTTTTTACATCTTCCCATCACTGCACTGACAGGTGTGTGCCAGTCTCTCCTGTCAACGGTTTGTGCCTCTGCGGTGCTCTGGACCCTGCCCTCTCTCCTCCTGTCCTCTCGTCTTCCTCAGTGTCATTATCACCTTCCTTGCTGTGCAGTTCCATCAGCATGTGCCTACACAGCTTTTCCCAGCTATTAAAAAAAAGTCCTCCCTTGATGCCACCTCCTGCTCCAGCAATCACTCCTCCCTGCTGCCGTCACCGCCGAGCCCCTGGAAAGCAGTATCTGCACCAGCCTTCTCCTCTGCCTCTGTTCCCACCCATGCTCTGGTCCATTCCACGCTGGCTTCCCTCCTGACCTCCCTACAGAAACTGTTCTTTGACGGTCACTATCCAAGATCATATGGCCAAGTCCAGGGGCCCCTTCCTGTCTTCACCTCCCTGGACCTGCCGGCAGCATCCGAGGCAGCTGACCTCCCACTACTGTGGCATCAGGCTCACTGTGTGCAGGCAAGCTTGGCTTCCTCTTGCTCATTAAGTGCCTCAGGTCTCAGCCCTAGGAGTTCGTCACTTCCCTCTGCACACTCTCTCTGTACGTGATCTCATTCAACTTCATGATTTTAAAACCACCAAATTGGGCCGGCCCGGTGGCTCACTGCTACAGTGCGCCACTTGAGAGTGCGGCGGCACTCCCGCCGAGGGTTCGGATCCCACCTACAGACCGGCCGCTCACTGGCTGAGCGAGGTGCAGGCGCAACGCCGAGGGTTGCGATCCCGTTGCCAGTCCCGGTCCGGTACGGGTGTGACACTGAAGGTTGCGATCCGTTTCCGGTCACGAAAAAAGACAAAAAGGAAAAAAAAAAAAACCACCAAATTAACGCAGCCCAGAGTTGCAGACTGGTATCTGCACCTGCCTTCCCAGTGTCCTGCCAGATGTCCTGCTTAACCTCCTCCCAGACTTGCCCATTTCAGTGAGTGTCTACCGCCCACCTCTCCCAGATCCTAGGCCAGAACCTGATGGGGATCCTGCCTCCACCTTCCACTACCCTCAGGTTCTGTCCGTTGGGCATGTGGGTCCTGCCTCCAGCCTCCTATGTCCTCTGCCCTCTACTCCCACTGCCATCACCCTGGTGCAGGTCATCTTCCCTTGGTGGTGGAAGTTTTAGCAAAGAGCCTCCTAACTGGGATCTCCACTTCTGCTCTTGCCTCTGTAAAATCCATCCTCACCCGAGCAGCCAGAGTGGTAAAATGGAAACCAGACCTCCTATTGCACCTGGGGTACAAACCAGACTTCCTCCCTCCACCTGCAAGGCCACTGCCTTGCCCACCTCTCCAGCTTCACCCCAAGCCACCATTCCCCTCAATTGCTCTTATCTGCCATAGGGCCATTGTGGTTGCTGTCCCCTCCGTGTGGAGTCCTCCCACCAGTCTTATCATGGCTGGCTCCTTCTCTGCCAAAATGACATCTCAAGGAAGACTCCTTGAATAATCCCACTTCTGATTTTCTCTAGTCAGAGCCTTAGTAGTCTCCTTTATTGCACTAACTGCCATCAAATTAACTAGTTTTTGTTCTAGCATGTGTACTCCGTGAGGGCAGTAGCCTTGTTTTTCTCGTCCATCAAGTCCTACAGCCTAGCACTGTGCCTGGCACATAGTTCTCTGTAAATAGTCGTCACATGAACAAAGCATATTCCTGGTTAACACCTTTACTCACCTGAATAGTAATTGGGTTTTATTTAAGTGGAGACGTGTTTATATCGTCCCTCTACTCCCTGGTGTCATTGGTGCTTAAATGCAAAAGACATATTGGGCCGGCCCGGTGGCGCACTGCTACAGTGCGCCGCTTGGGAGCGCAGTGGTGCTCCCGCCAAGGGTTCGGATCCCACATACAGACCGGTTCCCGCTCACTGGCTGAGCGAGGTGCGGACGCAACACCGAGGGTTGCGATCCCGTTGCCGGTCCCGGTCCGGTACGGGCGCGACACTGAGGGTTGCGATCTGTTGCCAGACACGAAAAAAGACAAAAAGGAAAAAAAAATGCAAAAGACATATTAATCAGTTAGGCCCACCCTCCGCACACCAGCTGGGATGGGGGCTGTGGAGAGGGCTTACTGTAGAGAGCTCTGAGAATGTCCACATGGGGCTTTAAGTGACACAGTGAGTGTATCAAAGACAGGGATGCCATCAGGTCTCAAGCAGTGAGCCACAAACCGGCATGTAAGATGCCGTCAGGCATACAAGTGTACAGTGTAGAAAGGAATACGTAATCTCACTGGCCAAGGGGGAAAGCGGTTCTCTTGCCTGAAGCTCATTTGGATGTTAACTAAGCAGTGTTCTCCAGCATAGCTCTTTGATGGTGAGCATACATTATCCTTTGTCAAGACACAGGTAATCTTTTGCACTTCCTTATAAGACTGAACACTTTCCATAGAGACTGAACACTTCATTCTCCATTGGCCCTAAGGGCTCCGGGCCTCCATTCTCCATATTGGAAAGGGCGGATCTGCCTCTTTTACTCCATATAAGAAGTGAAGGATGCCCAGGCAGAGGGGAGGGTGGAGAGACAGCAACCTCTCCTTAGTTGAATTGAAGTGGGTGAGAGTAATGGCTTCGACTTTCTTTCCCCACCTGTAGTGCCCATGTGGAAAAGCTTCCAGTAATGGCTAATGAGTGTCAGGAGATACTGAACACAGCATGCTTTGACAGCTCGCAGCTCTCAGTGCCTTGCTGAGTCCCAGGTTTACTAATGACTGTCACTCCCTCATGCAACTCCTAGTCCCTGTCACTTCAGAAGTGGGAGGTTGAGTGGTTTGGCCACACCACACTGTTGAAAACAGGACCTGATTGGTGCAGACAGAAGAGGCAGGGGCTGGAGAGTTGGGGGGTGGGGAGAGAGGAAAGAGCAGAGCCTAGCAGGAGAGGTGAAGGGTAGTGGCAGTGAGGACTTCCCAGGAGAGAGTGCAGAAGCATGGCAGCTCAGGAGCTCTGTCTTCCCAGAGGGCCTTGCAGGAGGCTAGAACACAGAAGTGCCAGCCCAAGGGCCGTACAAAGGGCTGAGGGCAGTACAGAGGGCAAGGGGTAGGAGAAGTTGTTCTGTGATGGGAGGGTGATGTAAGGGGCTCGCCACTGCAGCGGGAAGGATGGGAATTAGGCCGCGAGGAGCTCCTAACTGGTGGAGATTGGGATATAGCATCTTCTGGAAAATATTCAGGATATAAAGACCTGTGTCCTTCCAGGCAGGGTGGCCTGGGCTCCTGCCCTCGGCTCCAGCCACCAAATGTGTCCTGAGTGAGTTGGGTGGGTGGGCACACGTCGCCCAGAGCATCATCTCAGATGTGGGTTTCTTCTTTGGACCGCACGTCTGGTTTCTTCCTGTGTTAGAGGCAGTCCTGAGACAGCTGGCTCTGGGACCTCATGCACTGCCACATGCAATGGCAGAAAGCCCACAGGGGTGAGTGGCCACAGGAGATGGAGAGCCTCAGAACTACCCTGAGAGGCTGGAGGGGAGGTTTTCCTCCTTAACTTTTCCACTTTGGTAGTTCCATTGCCTCTGGATGAAGACCAGACCCCTGAAGCCGTGCCTCAGGGCTGTATGCAATCTACACTGCACTGATCCATTTGCAGTACCCACTTCTGCAGACACCCTGAGTGCTCTCTCCTCGGTGCACGCCTCTCCTTCCTTTTTGCTGCTCCTCTTCCCCTCACCCCCAATGCTCACACATGCTCTCTCTCCTGTTCCTCCTGTCCCTTCTGTCCCCCCTCCCCTCCTCTCATTCCTTTCCTCCCCTTCTCCTCTCCTGTCCTTCCACCTCTGTCTCCTCTTGTCTCCTCTCCTCTCCATTCTCCTCCCCTCCCTCTTCTTTTCTACCCTGTCGTCCATTCTCAGTCTGACTTCTGTTCGTTCTCCAGGTCTCAGCTTTGCTGTCACTCCTGGGGATTCTTCCCCAGTGTCCCCTCCACCATACTGGTTGGTCTTTTTCCTGGGTAGTGCCCGCCAGTCCACATGCAGCCTCGCAGACAGGCAGGAAGGCACGTGTGCGCTGAGGAGATTGCCTGTCACCCTGCCAGGCGGAGCAGGCTTGTCTGCCTTGCTCACCTGTGACCCTTTCTGCAGCTGTTACCTGAGGGCGTGCTTCATCTGGCGCCTCCTGCAGTATTTGTATGTATGATGGAAACCAGTTTTATAAATGTGGTCACAAGATGGAATTTCTAGGGCAGATCTTGGTTAAAAACAGCAACAACAAAAAAAAGCTTTGATTTTTTGCTTGTGCTTTGATGAACGTCCTCAGTGACATTTTTTGAAATGCATTTCAGGAAGCTGTATGCAGAGCTGTGCCAGGGCATCGTGGACTTAGCCATATCTAGTGTCTTCCCGCCCCCAGACGTGGAGCAGCAGCAGAGCCAGCCAGCCACCTTCCTCAGGCTGTGATGGACGGAAGAAGCGCAGGCCCTGCTCCAGGGGAGGCGGGTGACCCAGGCCAAACAGGGAAGACGGACAGCGTACACAGATGCCATGGTGGAGGCCGTGAACATGATGCTACGCTGAGAGCCAGCTGCTCAAGGGGCCTCCCAGGCAGAGCTCTGGCCGGTGCTGTGGAGGCTTGAAAACTGGAGCAGGTGTCTGGGAGGAGGGCAGATATTCTTCTAAGGGGAAAAAACAGGGATATGGTTATGGTATGTTCTTATCCTTTTAAAAACATCTTTTGACCCTAAGGCAGCATTGGAGCAGAACTTGTCCTCCTGGGGCCTCTGGTTGGCGTCTTCCCTCCTGCTGTAGCCTTCGTGCCTTAGCAGTGTGCCCACCTGTGACCCCGCTGCTCTGGGACACGGATCGGATGTTTTGGAGGTTGCCCGTGTATTCCCCACTCGTCCCTCCACAATACTGCCCCACCAGACTTGGGACAAGCATGCAAGTCCCTAGTTTCATGCTGTGCGCTGCCCCTCGGCAGGGCGCTTCTCCTCATCATGTTCCTGATGGTGTTTGGTCAGTCACCTGTCAGGCTTCGTGGGGACTGGGCGCCAGAACAGCAATCACTGCTCTCAGTCTGCTCTCTGCATGTTTTAGAAACAAAGCAGCAAGTCTGCCCTGAACCTGTAAGCATCAAATATGCATGAGAGAGAAAAAACATAATATCAGGCTTTACTTCATAGCTTGGGTGTGGTGGGTCTTTGAAATATGATGATTCTCAATTAATTTGTTTTAACCAGAATTCTAAAGACAGTTTTGCAAAGTTCCCTTTTCTTCACTTTAAAAAAAAAAAAAAACACCTCTCTGGCCCTGCGCCAGACACAGGTACCTTCCCTTCTTTTTGTTTCTCTTGTGCTCCAAGCTTCTTCTGCAAGAGCTGGAGGGGCAGGTTTTATTCCAGTTGGGATTCTATGTCTGCTTGTGCCTGTAGGTATCAGGGGAGAGGCTCTCTGATAAATGTATGTCCTGCCTAAATAGGAAAGTCTTCTAAAATGGCAAAGAAGTGGTTTCAGAGCTCCACGCAGCGTCCTGTAAGTCTCAGCCACTGTGTCCTGTTAGGTATGGTTTCCATGTACTGGATTAACTAACACTTTGTAGGCTCTTCAGGAGGTTGTGTCACTAGCAGTGGGAAGAATACGATGTCATTCGTGTTCAGTGTGAGTTGTGCAAACAGGCCCTTCTTATAGTGTCTTGGAAATCACAGCAGACCCCTTGAAACTGCACTCCTCCCCAGAATGCGGTGTGTTGTTTCTTTGTACATATGTGTGCTCTCTTCTTTGTTTCTACTTGGCACAAGAGAACATTCCTGCAGTCAGGTGAGACTTTTGCAAAAGGGAAGAAGGAGCCACACCTCCTCAAACATGAGGAGACGTGGGAGCTTACAGCGCAAAAAGTTATAATGGTAAACATTATTTAACAGTGGCAGCAATAGGTGATGGGATGTGAAGGGGTTATGTCAGGGTTAAATGGAGGAGGGCCCAACTGGGTTGGCTCTCATGGGAATTTGAAATTACAAAATGAAAGTCCTGGTGGTTACCTAGAAGGCGAATAATAAAGTTTGCATCCAGAGCAAAATGAAACAGTGGTGGCAATCAGTCCTGTAGGCCCATTGCAGTTAGTGTTTGGGAACTTCTGAGAAGGGCGTGAGATCTGATCAGATCATGGGAAGATGTACCCATTTTGAAAGCGTAGGGTGCCGGTTCCTTGGTAAGTCTGGGGCCTGGTGATGGGGAGAGCATGGAGGTTTTTGTACTGCTGCCTCACGCTAACACAGGCTTGTAATTACCTTTTGCAACCAAGTTACAGGGACATTCTAGAGTTTTCCAGCTCTCACAGTGACAGAGCTAAGAATTCAGATGTTAGGAAATCTGAATCTTGATGGATTTTCTAAGAAACCAATTTCAGTGGCACAGATGTGAGGGAAGTATGGCTAAAAAAAGAAAGATATGCTTTATTCCTCATGTGGTTTCAAATAAGTATCTGTTTTGTTTTATGCATTTATTTTTGATTAGGTGGAATGGAGGGCTCACAATTGTTCTCTGCCTTTCCTTGTTGCCCTTGGCACAGATGGGCATGCCTGGCCCCCAGTGAGTCTTCATATGTTTAGTCCATGGAAGTTGCCAGGGGAGGAGGCATTATTGATTTGGGGATGTCAGTTCTAATCTTGGCTCTGTTCTTTGACTGCACAGTATCAGATGAGCCCTTTAACTTATCTGTGCCTTAGTTTCTTATCTCATGGGAGAGATCGTTGCCTAACCTGGGGACTACCTCATGGGCTTTTAGTGAGGAAAAATGAGAGTAGGAAGACTCAGAGCCTTTAGTACCAAGGTTCTCAGCACTGACTACATGCTGGAAACATTTGTGAAGCTTTTAAAAAATGTTGGTGCCCACACTTTTCCCCTCCTCCTTTCCCTGGCCAATTAAATCAGAACCTCAGGCAGCAATATGTCTCGAGGTGCCTTGAACTACTACTCGAGAAGGAAGGACAAAACACATTATTGCCCTGGAAGAATCACATAAAGTGTACTGCTTTGTAAAAAATTCTTTTTGGAAACACAGGCATTTCTTTAAGAACAACCAGGTCTTGACTTATGTGTTCATGGTACAAGCAAGTGTTGTCTAAGCAGGTTCCCTGTTTGCTTCTCATTGTAGCATTTGGAAACTCAAACATGCTTTCATTTATGTAAACAGCTTATAAAGCCTTGACAAGAAATGTAAACAGACATGAAATTATAAATCTGCTAAATATGTGTTAAGGTTATTAACTAACAGTTGAGAGAAAAGCCCCTTTCCTCACATTTAACTCTATGGTATTTATAAACTCCATCTTACCAAGAACATTTAAGTGCCTCAGTGTTTGTATGATTTAGCGGAGCAGGTGCTGGCATATTTACCAGCTGACATGATGTTTCCCTAGCTCCTCAGGATAATGGTCATATGCATGGAATATCTGGGAGTGCTGGAAATATACTAGGATCAACAGGACCAGGAAGTGTCAGTGAAGCTAACAAAGCTGTTTTTATTAACAGTTGAGGTTGTGTCAAGCAGTGGAGGATCAAGCCCTGTTGTGGGCATGGAGAGGGGGTTCTACCAACAAAGATAAGGTGCAAGGGTGAGACCCATGTACCATGTGGTTGCTGTAGAGATAATTCAGTGGTATACGTGTCTCTGATCCTGGACACAGAATCTGTACCTTAGAGGAAATGAGTTCTGAAATAATGTAATTTTGTGAATGTTTAAAATACCTGGAGCATTAAAGTAAAGTAATGATATTTAAAGTGATTTTGTTCCCTCTGATTCTATCAGCTTATTGTGGGTCTTGACTGTCTTAGGATATCACTGGTTATTTAAATCCATGATGCCATTACCCAGAGGTTGGCACTTTTTCTGTAAGGGGCCAAATAGTAAATCCACTAGACTTTGAAAGCCATGTAGGGTCTCTGTTGCATATTTGTTTTTTCCCCAACTCTTACATAATGCAAAAACTATTCTAAGCTCATGGGCCACACAAAAACAGGCGTAGTTTGCTAACCCTGGGATGTTACCCAATACATAAACTGGCAGATTGTCCTTCAAAGCTGGTGAGCTGCTCTAGGATGAAGCATAGAAACAATTTCAGCTGCCAAAATGCAGTTCATTCTTTCTCACGTCTTGAGTATTGTCTGCATCATGATGCAAATTGGAAAGTGAGACCTATGGTTGTGAAAGAGAGTTATGTGTGCTTCAGACATGGGGCAGAGTTGTAGGGGCTTATGAAATAAGGGTACTTCCATAATTAGCCAGAAAGCTAAGATGTCCTTATTAAGCATTTCTCAAAGGTCAGGTTTATGCATAACCATAAACCTCACACATGTCAGGCACTTAGTCTTATGGTAGCAGGGGCTACATTTATGTAAATTGTCATAAACTTACTTGTAGCTTCTTGTGTGATGAAGCTGAATGCTTTGGACTCCTTTCCCATGTACAGTTGGCCTGCTTTTTGTGGCTGCTTTCACTTCATAAATCTACATCTGGCACAGAGAAGTGTCCTTCCAAGCCAGAAATCCTAGCATAGGCATCCCACTCCAAGTAAATTTCAGATGCGATATGACACACTCCCACTGAACTCAGCTGAAATTGCATGGAGGGTGCAGGGACAAACATATAGGGACCCAGGCAGGAAGCTACCCAGGAGCCTGAGAGTGGGCAGGTCCAAAGCCTTTGGAAGACTTCTCTTGGAGTCTGGTCCTGCTTGCTGTCAGTAGCTGTCCCTTCTCATTCAAGAACCTTAAGTTCTCCCATGGCCCCAGAGGTTCAGTGATTCTTTGAAGATGTTTTCCCCAAAGTATCCCTAAAGGCAAAGAAAAATGAGCCCCTGTTGTATGGGATACTTCATGGCACAACTTGAAGATTGCTGTAGGCAAAATTCTTTTTAAAAATTCATGAGAGGACATCGTGTGAATCAGTGGGAATAGCCGAGTAAGAACTTCTGCAAGTCCTCTCTTCCATAAAAGCAATGTGAACACTGGAAAAACTCCAGAAATTAACCAAAGGTTGCAGCAATCCAGGAAACATTTATTCAAGAAAAATGGTTGGGGCCGGCCCGGTGGCGCACTGTGCTAGTGCGCCGCTTGGGAAGCGCGGAGGCGCTCCCGCCGAGGGTTCGGATCCCACATACAGACCGGTTCCCGCTCACTGGCTGAGCGAGGCGCGGGGGCAATGCCGAGGGTTGCGATCCCGTTGCCGGTCCCGGTCCGGTACGGGGGCAACACTGAGGGTTGCGATCCGTTGCCGGACACGGAAAAAGACAAAAAAAAAAAAAAAAATGGTTGCATCTGAGTAAGAACAGTGATTTTTCTAATATTTAACTTGCTGTATTCCCCTTTCTCCTTTCCACAGTTCCACAGTAGCCATGTAAACCAACAGCTGTACAATCATGGTGAAATCCATCAGCCTAGCAGCCATTGTAGGGTACAGAATAG